GCAGACTACTTTAGGCCCGGAAGTAGGATTCGTCACGTCATCACTTAACGACCGGATAGTAACCAAATTTGAACCACCTGTGTTTTTTGGGTTTTTTTAATGGGCGGGATTACATCATGTATAATGGGAGGATGGATGAAAGTATGCATAAATAAACAGGTTTGCCAATTCTGTGGCCAGAAAGTCCTCAAGTTTGACTTTAAATGGCTTCTGGAAGTTGTTTCACTGAAATGTCTCTTGCCACATTAGTTTTCACTTCCACCAGTGCTGGCATCTGAACAGTAAATAGTTCTATTATGAACAATAATATTGCTCTGAACATTGTGAGAACAATTTGTAAAAATAACTGAATAACCTGAAAAAGAGGTAGAATGACAAGTACAATTCCTGGCTTCTATTTACCTGTACACCCCCTAACTGATATCAGAAAAGTGTTGTTGGTGGAGGAAGTTTCCAGCAGCATCTCACCATCCGGCAGTTCATCCAGATAGAGTCTAGCTTATATGGAAATTTCAGGTACTGTCTGCAGTATGTGTGATCAGGAACCTGTCACACATGTCACAAACACATGTTTGTAATTCTTCTCTTAAAACTTCTACAAGCTACTGTCATCACTTTTGGTGAATGGTGTCATCGCAGAACTCTGAGAACTTCTTTGCTGCCCTCCTGGCAAAGCCCACCTTCCCACGAGCCTTGGTCACAGCAGTGTACTCATGGGCCTTGAGCTTGGTGTAATAATCAGAGAATTTGTTGTAGAGGACGGAGATGGGCATGCCATTGAGAATGATGCCAAAGGAGATGCAGGCGAAGGCAAAGATACGTCCAAGGTTGGTCTCTGGGTACATGTCGCCATAGCCCACTGTGGAAATACTCACCTGAGGGGTGAAAGAGACAATAACTAAAGATGCAAAGGTAGACACAGAGATTGAAGGATCTTAGGTAGGATTTACTGAAACATATCTTTCTTTTTTGTCCCACCACACAAACACTTACTTGTATACATTGTTATGTGTTATGTAAAACACTGGTTCTAAAATGAAGTGTAAGATCTTCATTTCGTGTACGTTGAATCAGTGGATATGAGTTAAAAGTCATAAATAGGGGTTTCATGTCCAGAAACACAGACATTAACAGATGCCAAGAGGCAACAGTACATTTACTGGTACACCTTGCTTGTCTTAATTGGCAAAGATTCAACAAGTTGCTGGAAACATTCCTCAGAGATTTTGGTCCATATTAACATGATAGCATTAGATTTGTTGGACTTACATTCCTGATGCAACTCTCCTGTTCCACCACTTATTTGCATTAATGAGCAGTTGAGCAAGTGTACTTAACAAAAATTGTTGGTGTAATTGTGTGTCGACTCACAGCAGCCCACCACCATGCGTGTGGCATGGAGGTGAAGTTGGTGTTGTAGCCATCATGCTCCACTGTGTACACCATGGCTGAAAACATGAAGATTCCCATGCCAATAAAGAGCAGCAAACATCCCACCTGGAGAGATATTTTAGAGCAATTTCAGCATTTAGTTAAACACTTTCTTCATATTTCTCTCAACCTGCAGATAAACCCTGACCTGCTGGTAGCACTGTCTTAGCGTGAAGCCAAAGGCTCTGAGGCCCGTTGAGTGACGAGCCAACTTCAAGATCCTGAAGATTCTCATCAGACGCATTATCCTCAGAACCTGCCCAACCTACAGAGAGGGGAAAAAACACTACTAAACATGGATAAGACCACCATATTTAAAGTTTAACAACAACAACTCTCCCGCCTTTTCTTTACCTTCCCGACACGTGCTACTGTCTCAATGTCTCCAGAGTGCACATGGATGTCCTTGTCTTCAAAGCATTCCAAGATCATCTGCAAGTAGTGTGGCAGGATAGCGATCAGATCAACTGTGTTCAGCATGCTGCGTCCAAAACATTTCAAGTCAGGGGTGGAGATCAGGCGCAGCAGGTACTCCAGGGTGAAAAAGCTGATGCATAACGTCTCGACGTACTCGCCGTAGAACCTGCCGCTGGGCTCACCTGATGGTGTCTAGAACAGAGAATATAAAGATAAAGCTTCTGTTCTGAAACAATAAAGGATCAGTCATGGTTTTAGTGTTATAGACACCTTGTACTGCATCTCCTCAACGGTGTTGAGGGTCATGGCGACCAGCGACACCAGCACAAACATGGAGGATGCAACTGCCACAAGCTTGGCTGTGATCGAGGAGAATGGCATCTCCATTAGGTTCCAGATTTTCCTCCGGGTCTGCCCAAAGGCCATGCTGTTAAATAACACCTCATTCTCCTCGGTTTCTACCTGCAGGATGGAAATGCATGAGCAACAGGATACAAACAGCATTTTTTGTTTGTTTTTTAGAGGGGAGTCAAACTTGATGCTCACTAGAAACAACCAGAAAAATAGGCAGTATAAAAACATCTTATTTTTCATTGAGGATAAAACTAGACGAATGAAATGTCAGGACAAGTCACAAAGATGAAACGCGCTTGAATTAAAGTAAAAAACGGGCACAGCAAACTGTAATGGAAACATCTGTATAAATCTGTGCCAAGGAAAAGCTTATTCTCTTCTCCCCATCTGTCAAGACAGCAGAGCAGAGCGCTGATTTATAATGTAGGTCAAACAGACTCAGAGTCAGCCAGCAGATTACTGCCAAATCAGAGTTAAAAAAAATAACTGCTGAACCAATGAGGCAGCAGTAGGTGATGAACCCGTGACATTTTATTTTGCAGCACTGTTAAACATATGGAGTCGAACCGGTGGTAAAATAAATAAAGTCACTGATTACAAACTGCCTCCTGTGTCCTGTGGATTATCCACTTCTTACGGAGAAGGGTCTAAGTTTTCTAGGCTGTGAGGGCTGCAAATAAAAATCCATGGCCACGTATATGTGTGTGTGTTACATTTGAAGACGGAAATCCCAAAAGGGTCACAAGATAAACATGAGGGATCCTGACATGAGATCTTGCACTTATTTTTCAGAACTTTTATAAAACACAGCACATAAAAGATATGTTTCCTATTTGGTCCTCTAACATTTAGCATCCATGAAAAAAGCCCCACCCACCTGTAATTCAAAATATTTATTTATGAGGGTCAGCCAATTACAAGAAAACTGGTTTAAAGAAAAGAGACAGGGAGCTATAAAGGTTGTTTCAGACAGATGGTGAACTGAGCGCCTGCACTATGGTGTGGTATAAGATAAATACTGTGAATCATGCAAAGGTTTTTTAAGTCTGTTCAACTGAGGTGAACTTGAGCACAATAATGTAAATGTTTATTTATTACACACAATTTAAGTAAAAATGCACAAAAAGTGTGACATTACTCACCAGATCACCCATCTCTGTAATCAGCTGCTTCTGTATTTTCAGCTGCTCGTTCAGCTCGTCCTGCCTCTCTTCAAAGGAGATGCGGCAGCAGCGCTGGCTGTTTTTGATTCTGACCCCCCAGTAGTTTATCTCCTCCAGGAAGTTTCGGGGACACAGCTCGTCTTTAATCCACAACACTCCAGTTCTGACAGAGAGGAAAGAGACAAGAAAACAGCATCCATGATCATTCCGAGATATCACAAAGGAGTGTCCCTGTGTTGACTTATAACCTCACGTGTTTTATGTCACCTGTAGAAATTAAAGATGTTGTGGAAAATTGTTGGGTCGCGGTCAAAGAAGAACTCGTTGCGCTGGACGACGTAGTCATCGCAGAGGTCCAGCTTCCTGCTATGGTCTGTGTATGTGGCCAAGCGACCGATCCGAGTCTTCGGATACCTGGCGGCTAACCTGTAAGGTAGGTGATACACCTGAGAAATAAAAAGAATTAATCTCTTCTCTTTAGCATAGACATTTGAAAAAACATGGAAAAAAATTTCATTACAATTACAAAATGCTAATATCACAAAAAACATGCAATGTACAAAACCAGTTTAAAAAATCCAGTTTTTATTCATTGCTCACAACTAGCGCAATTGTAAAACTTATAGTAGCTTTGTTTGGTGGCCTGTAGGTGGCGATATTTGCAGCTCTTCAACTTTCCAACCAAATTTTCTCTAGTGAACACTTACAGGGAGTCCCATCCCCACAGACGCCGTTGTTCTAGTCAATAAAAATCCTAGTATTTTATTTGTCTGATGCTCTACTGTGTGCTGTAATCTGCTGATAACACAGCACTCCACTGGTGGCCCAAAGACTAAGGATGAGACTTCAAAATGCAGATTTGAAAACCAGTGGATGATATCATGGGGGCTACATCCATCTTTTATATACAGTCTTTGGTTTTAACACTCTCTGATGACTGCAAGCTTTGGGTAGTTACTGGAAAAAGTCAGAGTGAACTCAGAGGAGACCTCCTGAATCTGTAAGTTTCTATGGGATTGGATCAGAACCACTGATTCCACGGGGTCAGCAGTAACATCTGAGCAAGACGGCTGTGACAGATATGCAGCTCACAGTCTGATAATGACGTATGAGTGCCACCTCTGCTGCTTGTTAATAAGTGTCAGGTTCAGTCCTTCTAACAGTAAAATAAAAATATTAGCAGTTATGCAAAAGTTAAGTGGAGTTACCGTTCCTCCAACATTGATGTTGAGAATGAAGTGTTTGGTTGGAGAATTCAGCAGGCGGGAGGGAGACACTGGCAATCGATCCTCCACCTCCTCGTTTTCATACTCGGCATAAATATCGTAGATGTCTCTGCCAAGGTCCTTAAAAATATAACAAAACACAAAATGAACAGAAAAACTGAAAAATATCAGCTTAGATATGATCGTAGTAAAATAGTAGATTTGTTTTTGCTCATCACAGTTCCAATTAGGTGAATGCTACTCTACACCAAACCTTTTGTGTAATTTTTACCTTATTGGTTGCCGTGACAGATGACTTTCCAAACTTATGAGAAAAATAAGTGGCATGGTGGTTCACTAAATTGCATTTCTGTCTCACATCATAGCAAGATGGTTCCCAGTTCACCTAGTCATCTACAGTCTTCTGCGTGGAGTTTGCTCTGAGTACTTCAGCAAATTTAAATAGCAGATTCTGAACTGGCTGTGGATTTGAGGAAAACACAGTGCAGATGGAATACTAAGTCCAATTCCACTTCCTGCTTGGCATCCTTGCCAAAGATTTCACTGAAGAGCTCCACATCACATTTAAGTTCCAGTTTTACTTTAATGTTGCTGTTGATTTGTTGCTTATAGTAGCCTGTACTATTTTTATTCATTACCGTTCTGCTGTGAGACGACAAGTTCCCCTGTGGCATCAATAAAGTACCCATTTACCTCTCCATATCTATCCATCCATGCATCCTACTTGATCTTATATTTGAGAGTCTTAGCTTGAGCACTAGAATGTGGTTCAATGCTGAAAAAACACAACGGCCGTAAAACCATGGAAGCTGTCTCAGCCTCACTGAACTTGATGAATCTGAACAAAAAATAACCAAAATCCAAAGGTATAGCTCAAATGTGTTTTTTAAAAATAGCTCCATCAAATCAAACAAATCCCAAATGGACCGAGTGACTGACCTGCATGGAGTTCCATGGTTTAATGAAGGCGCTGATCAGGTCCAGATGTTCCACCGTTTCTTTGACCTCTTGAGTCCGGCTGCCGGGCTTGTAGCTGGAGAATAAACTCCTGCTTCGAGCTCTGAGGTGGTTAAACATGATCGCTGCTTTAAGTGTTAAGTGTAAACTGCACAGAGACACGTCGCATTTACAGACACATTCAGTAATAAAGAAATCATACTGTTCACACACATGCACGCAGCTGACAGAGAGATATCACACGCAGAGTGATGAGGGAAGTGATTCTCCGTGCCTAATGCTGCTGACTGAGATGATCCGGGTGCTTAAAGTTTTAAATACTATTATCCTCTGTCCATCTCCTGATCTCTCAAGCTCTCCCTCTCCTCCCACTTTCACATAAGTTTACAAATCTGGTAAATTAGGGTCATAAATGTGATCATTTTAATACTATTCTAAGATGTCAGTCCAGTCCACTGCTTTGTACAAGACAGTATTTGTTAACAACTGCTAGTTTTGTTCAATACCCAAAGAAAACTCTTAATTTAAAACAGCATCTGAAACGTAATGATACTGAGCAGCTATAAAATGCAGTTCTGACATTCATTGCCAACGGATAGCATAAGAAAAAATTAGAGTAACAATTTCTTTGTAGGTGACTGTAGGTGTCAAAATCTCTGTACCCTACAGAACACATGCAGATCTAAAGTTCTGTCATTGTTATACTTCACTACACATGGACATTGATCTGGTCTGTAAAGTAGCTGAGGGGATTATTGATCAGTTTCATCTGCTTTGGTGTACATTTTAGTACAATGACACTACTGTTAGCGATACCTGGACCTTACAGTGTTTCCAGAGGGAGCCCAATTCCTCCAGGCTGGCACATCAATACATGCCATTGCCAAAAGGTTTGCTGTTTCCTCCAGCACAGTCTCATAACCATGGAGGATATTCCAGGTAATAGGCAGCAGAGCTGGGCAGGCCTGCAGAAGGTACTTAACCCATTAGCAGGACCAGTATCTGCTCCTTTGTGCAAGGAGCACAGTTGCATAATGACCTCCAGCAGGCCACTGGTGTGAACATCTGACCAAGCAATCAGAAGACAGCTTCCAGAGGTTGATCTGAGGGCCCAACATCCTCTAGTAAGCTCTGTGCTCACTACACCGTGGAGTCCGACTTACATTTGCCATAGAAGACCAGAACTGTTAGATCTGCCACTAGTGGGACGATGAAGGAAAACCACTGACTGGCCCCAAACTCCCCTGTGGTAAATCCAATAGAACACCTCGGGGACATTATGTTTCAGTCTAAATCTGGGAGATGATCCCCTTAGACTTCATTCACTGTGTCATTAGGAGATTTCTCCAACATTGACAGGCACACATACAAGCACGTGGTGGGACACGAGTACCAATGCTGCCAGGCTGCACCTCCGTTCATCCCTGGTCCTGACCTGGGATTTTTTTTTTCCCCACTCAGATCTGATTTTTTGTGTTCTTAAAGTCTTTCTTAAAATGTTCCTTTAAGTTTTTTTGAACAGCGTAGTTTATGAAAGAAACTTGTGAGCTAGTAACTCGGCACTAGCTTGTCCAAATATGGTAATTTCTGGCTCATCAAAAATTGTCATTATCAATGATTTGACATAATGTTGCAGCATCTATGTCCAGCTTTTATGCAGTACATTGTTTCAAGCCTCACTTCACTGAAAAATGTATTTTGAGGCTCGGAGGGGAAGCGTCGCTCCTTTGACTCAACTGACATGAATCGGGCATCTGATCATTTGAGGGTTTCCAGCTTGCAAGAGATCCAGAAGACACTCAAGGATCCTCCACAGTATGGAAAAACTAAATTAACCCCCCTGTTATGTTGGTTTCCAGGAACACCAATTATGCTCCTGGGTTAATTTGACCTGGGGCAAATTTACTCATCCAAAAGTGTCAGAAACACTGGCATTGATTGTTTTACGATTTTTTTTTATAATTGATTTTTTTCATTTTCTGTAGTGATGCAGATGACATGTGACATCTCTTCTGTTCTGGGTCAATCTGACCCGCAACATAACAGGAGGGTTAACCTGCTGTCACCTTGAGCCAACGGTGGATGAACAGATGGATTTTATGTAGTAAATAACATCACCGTTTGTTTTCTAAAAACAAAAAAAAACTGGAAAGCAAGGCATCTACTGTTCCCAGCAGTGAATTAAAAGACATTTTTGGTTTTAAGACACAAAGTTTGGATATTTCAGTTGATACGATCTTGGGAAAGTATTTCCCGTTGTTCAGAGCGCTCCTTAAATGCATCACAACAAACCTCGATTTTCAAATATCTGATGTAGCCTTCCTTCAGATGCCACAGAGTTTCGCATTTTAAATCTCTGCCTTAATCCAAGTGTGTGCGTTTGATGCATTTCCTGCAATTATAATTCAAGTAGTTAGGTGGAGATTAATCCTTCCTGCAGTTAAACAGGGATAATAAAAAGATGGAGGCGAACTCAGTTTCTCAACCCACTTCCCTTTACATACACGCATCCTCATGTTTGCCCCTGATCTGACTGAGGGCAGATTAAACTGTGCTGGAAGCAGAGGAGGAGAGTTTAAGTCATTACATACAGAGTCAGTCCTGCTTGTGGTGATTGCTTCATGTCATTTGCTGCTAAAGAAAATGATAATTTTAAAGGAAAGCTTTAAGGACATGGTAACTGGTAGTTCAGGGGCTCCCTAATTATTATCTAAGAAAATGAGCATTTATCTGATCCACCTCTAACTCGCTGTGTGCTGCTGAGGACTTTAATAACTGCAGCGGCAAGTCCCTAGACTTAGGTGAAAGTTGTTCTGTTACTACTACCTGTTCCACTTGGTCTAGGGGGAGGTACGCACACACATGCATTAACATTTTTAGTTCTCTTGCACCCAAATTTACCCTTATAGTTTGCTTTGAGCATGAGAAAACTAGATATTTTTGGAGTTATGCTATGCCCAAAATCCTCTAATGGGCCTACTGTTCACTGCCTGGGATTTGCCATAGCATAACAGAATCGGCACACAAAACTGATCTTTTGTGCTTTTCACAGATGTGCTCGTGGCGAACCGGCATTCATGTGAATGACGTCTGGAGAGACCATGGAAACATTGCTTCACACCACCTGTTTGGTGGGTCTGTGATTATGTGGAGAGGAATACCCATGCTGGGACGTACAGATCTTTACAACACCACAACTGCAATCAAGTATTGGGATGAAATCCTTTGACCCCATCATCAGACCCAATGCTGATGCAGTGGGTCCTAAGCTCCAGGTTCCTGCTGGTGCACAACATTGCCCAGCATCATGCAGATATAGTATGGCTGTAATGGTTAACCAATGACTGTTTTCTACAGTCATTGGTTAACAGACAAAGTTACAACTACTGTTGTAATATCAGTCATGTCAAATCAGCAAACGTAATGTTGTACTTGCCTTGTAGAATAATCAGCTCTGCTGAGTGAAATTCTGGTATTTTGCCTGCACCTATAGTTTTCTTGATAACCAAGATGTGACAAAAGAAAAGATTTGTACAGCTCAGGAACAGGCTTTAAAACAGTCCACAAATCAGTGGGTGAGGTCACAGAGGCCATGTATCACAAAAATTTATGCATGAGAAAAAACAAAGAACAAGATTTTCTGAGCAAAGTTGTGGATTAAATTTTAATTCCGAAGTGATTCGCAGATCAGTTTCTTCACAGATACAGAGTCTTCCCATTTTATTGGTGTCCCCCCTTCTTTGTACAAGGCTAGAAAAAGTTCACAGCAACAGCACAAACATACAAAATAGTTTTACCAAATTCATTGTGTTTTGTTTTTTCCTTCTTAAATACATTTGAGCCGCTGGTATGACGCCCAACCATAGCAAAAGAACTGATCAAGTCAAATGTATACAATCTTATTTACACAAGGAGCATTTGATCAAAGTGCATTGAAGAGTCCTGATTGACGATCATGTCCAAAGGATGATGGGCAAATATGTACAGTGTTTACAAAAGCTGTAACTATGGTTATTTCACAAGCATCATAATAATAATAATAATAATAATAATAATAATAATAATAATAATAAGCCTGTAAGAATGCATTCTAAGAGGTGGTGATGGCAAGAAAACACTTAAATTAATGAAAGAAAACTTAGATTTGAGATATTACTGCCCAAACATGATCGTACATAAATATTCACATCTGAGGAAGCAACAAATAAAATCTGGACCGCATCCTCTCCTTATTAAAGCCTTACTTCTAAAGGACCCTTGACCCCTCGTGTTTTGTGCAGCCTTCAAACATTCGCCGTGTCAGATTCTGGGAGCCCAGATGAGGAGGAGATCAAACTGACAATTCATCCCTCTCAACTGTTGTGACACGATGCCAGCAAGCTTCTTAAAGAGGGCGGGGCAAAGAAATGACTGGAAAATGTCTGCGGCCCAAAAATAATGGAAAAAAAAAAATCCTTACAACTTTGGATGTAGAGCGAAACCAGTCGGGACAGAATTCATTGCAATATTTACATAATAAATAACATTTCCTCTTCACCACACACAGTGGTTTAATGTACTTCAGAAGGCATGTGGTCGTACTATAAGGTCTGCTGCTGCTGCTACGGTCAAGCGTCGGCACTGGAACGAGGCGGCGCGGTGTAACCGTGAAAAAATAAAAAAGACCCAACACGATCAGGATAAATCATCCTCTGTGCTCACTATCGAAATCTGAAGGAAGATGAAGGGAGGGGGAGGAGAGAGGAAGACCGGTTTAGAAATGCTCACAACAACAGCACTTTAAAGGCTCGTTCATTCCAAGCTGCACTGTCTGCTGCATTCATGAACTAAGACAGTGTGCTGGTTTAAAGGGAAGGCGTGTGCTGCAGGTATTGAACTCATGTTGCCTTTTGAAACGTCTGCTGCAGCTGTGAGGGCGACAGCAGAGGCTCGTGTCCATCTTGTGGCCCCGGTCGGGCTTAGGTTAATCGGTTTAATCTGTATATGCGCTTTGCAGACGGCCAACAATGAACATTAAGGATTACTACGGGCCACAAGGTCATGGTGAGAGTGGAGGTCATTAACATGCAGGCTCCATCTTCCGAAGCCTGGCTGGAATCATTTAAGCTGCTCAGAAACTGCAGCTCGTGGTTATTTTCACCTTCGCTGAGGAGGTTACGTGACTGGTTCAGTTCATTTGTTGGGAGGATTACACAAAATGCTGGCCAGGTGTATGAGGGGGTAAAAAACAGACAGGCATTGTTGAGGACAACTTCACAAGGAATCTAGTCCTTTACCACTGCCCACGCCTGGTTACCTACTTACTGATTGCATGCACAGAGTGATGGTATTGTGTTTTAGTTACTCTGGTGATTTGAGGCCATGGTTTATTTACAGCTCCAATATTTTATGAGTAAATTGAGCTAACATTGATTGCTCACAACCTAAGGTGACAGGTGCACCGAGTTATTCCTGGGTTGTTTTTATTTGCTTAGAATTGTTTATTATTTCAATGCCTTGCACACCAACATGTGAATAAAGCTTCACCAACAAAATGTCTCAAGCTGAAATTTCCAAATTCCCAGTCTGAATTGTCATCTGGAACGAACTGTTAATCACTACCCTGAGTTAACAACGGTGTTCGTGGATTCTTCACTCACCGCGGGGTACGTGTGTCCTACATTGGCGCCATGCCTCGTGATGTCAATGTTGAGGTCTTCTTCTGTGGTCTTCAGGTAGACTGGGTTGTCAAAGTTCATGCTTTTCTGGTTCTTCAGCTGCCAGTTCCTCCACATCAGGTAGCCACCTGCTGCCGCCATCGCCAGTAGCACTGAGAGGAGAGACGAACAGTCAGGAGTCAAACCCCCCCAAAAAGTGCCAAGGATCTGAAATTAGTATTTTAATTAGTTTGCGCAAGTGTGTGGGCGGCGTCTACTCACAGACGGGTAGTATGGCCCAGGCAGCAGCAGAACCTCTGGCTGTCGAATTCACTTGAATTGATGTGCTCACATTGGCTTCTGAAAGACAAAACAAGGCACATGCCAACAGCCAACATGTTTAAAAATATTTCCTTAGACTTTGACTACCAGTTAGGTTTCCAATCAAGAAGCAGAATAAAGTGAAAATCCAAAATCATTTTGGCAACTGGTTTTTAATTGTTTAAAGAAAACAGCATCTGATGAGTCCATTTCATTTCCCCAGTCTACTTGACTCAGTGTGTTCTTGTATCAGTGTCAAGTGAGGGTGGAAAAGAAGCTTTGCTGAATGCAGTAACAGACCTCAGGAGAAGAGAAAGTTTGATTTGCTTGTACTACCAGCTGGCCCGCTTTGCTATCACTGTGAAACTATTAAATTCTTGCAATGTGTCAACATTTTGGTTCAGAGTAAAATATTGAAAGTACTCCTGGCCTCATCCTTTCAATGAATTCATACCTCACCCTTCAAATTAGTGTAAACCATCATTTTGGAGTGCTGATCGCATATGTGACAAAATCAATAGACGTAATCAAAGTTCAATCTGTCCAAATCTTTGGTTTGATTTATTAAAGCTAGAACATCCTTAGCTTCACTTTGTTTACCAAACATCAGCTCCAATCATTATGTTGCAATAAATACCTTGTCTACCAAATCAAAGCAAAACGCACAGACTCAAGAAACAGTCTTTGTGTTCAAGAAGATTTCAGTCTGAGATCCAGGTTCACTTGGATAAAGAGACTTTAGGGCATTTTGTTTAGCTTTTGTGGACAAAGTTCAGAAAGGTCAGACTTCTCTTGTTCTATGTGGGACACTGTTTTTTATAAATAGAATAATGGCTTAAATTCAAACAGAAAACGGTAAAGTTCTAAAATTCACCAGCATACATGGTTTTTAAAGTTTAGTAGTTTCTATAATGTGTAAAAAAAGTCAGGGGTAAAGTGGAAGCTCTTTAACTGCTTATTACAGTTTAAATAAAGCATTTATCAGCAGAAGAAAGTGTGTTTGGAGCCACGTCAAACTAAACTACAGCCTGTGTCTTTATGGTAATGAAGGATATCAGAACAATGCAACAGTGTTTTGCAGCAACAATGGAGCTCAGAGACAGAGGAAGAGGATATAGCAGGCTTTGGATACTTGGGCATGATTTCGTAGGAGGATTAATTCATTGTTCTGTCATTTGTTGATAGTCTATTTTTCTTTCTTTGATTTTTGACATCCTGCAACAGCTCATCTAAAAATAGGACATTAATCAAAATGTTCAGGACTGCAAGACTTCTTTGACTCTTCGTGTAAGCACAAATGTTATGCTCTCCCAAGAAAGCTGAGATCACAGTTTGAAAAGAAGCGTTGGGGAAGGAGGGGGTTACAGTCTGAGAATTGCTGATTCCTGCTTCTCTTGCACAACTTCATTTCTTGATGATGCCTGAAGGATTTGTGCTACAATCCCTTTGTGTTGCAGTAATATAACAGTCACGTCTTAATTACCAGATTATGCCAAACTTTAAATGGGAAAGTGATTTTAGTGATGAAGCTTCCTTGTTCCTGCCACTAGGTGTTGCTCATGTGCTGTGCTCTCAATAGTGTAATGAACTGTGGTTTAATCAGCTGAAACGGAGGCAAACAGCTTTTACCTCCAAGTACAGCATAAAAAACCCTCCGTGGTCAAATTGCCTATATGAGTTTCATGAGAACAAACTCCACTTGAGAAATGGGGAGGATCTCATCAGCAGACCTTGTGTTTCTGATTAGGGTTGCTGTATGCATTTTTAGCATTTTACAGAGGATTAGAACAAAGTTCCTGAAGTTGCTAGAGTTGTTTATGCAGTAATCACATTTCAGACCTTGTGAGTCTGATCTGTTTGACACATGGCCGACAATTCACACATCCAACATGAGAAAGTGCAGCGCACTGCCCGCTTTGTTTCCAACAAATGTTAAACATGCAACAACAGACCTGAGAGGACTTCCTCACACAGTCCTACATTACATTTATCTGCACAAAACAATGAACCTGAGATTAGAAGAAAAGCACATTTATGCAGCTGAGATTTAACAAAATTCTTACAACCAAAAACAGACAAATATAAAGAGGTTAAATTACATTTTAACCTGAGGAGTGAAATCAACGAAATCTAGATAACATGACCTGAAAATCAAATTTAACAGCACAGGAGATGAAAATATACCAAAGTTGGACATAATCCTAGTTTATTATTATTATTATTATTATTAATAATAAACGAATAGATTCTTTGTCCCTTTGGATGAATTATGTTTTTTCTGTGCAAAATGTATAGTACTCAAATATATTTAGAGACTTATATCAGCTCATTAATGTACATGCGCAGATATTCTCAGACTAAGACTTCATCAGGTCAAGAGCGACTCGTCTAGAGTTACTGTGTTGTTTTGGCTACAGGTTACATCTGGGAGTTCAAAATAGGCATTCTGTTAAGGAGCTTATTGACCTGCTGGATGTTGAGAGGTGAGCAAATATTTTGTGGCCCAGGCATTTTCATATTTTGTTAAATATGTGTGTATATACAGAGCAGACTGTCCCTAGATTTGGGTTCCATAATTTATATTTTGGACAAAGCCAAGATGAATTCCATCATTTTCTGTGGGCAGCAATAAGGGTAACACTGGAGGAATGGACTCTAAAATCACTGAGCACAAATACCGCTGTATAGAGACACTGATGCAACAACTGCCCGTTACACTATGGTTATGTGTCTGCAATTCTAATTCCTGCAAGCTTATCAACCAAGTGTGTTACAGTAATCAAAGGCCGATTAATCACATTTGAGAACTTACAGATTCATGCAACATTAATGGCCATCCTCTTTAGGCATGAAAAGATGAATAAAATACTTGAGAAAAAAAAATCCTGATTGATGTCATAATTCATGCATGACAGGGTTAGATAATTACAATGACACACGTCACACATCTATAGTAAAATTAAATGACCAGTGGGTGGCAGCGTATGGAGTGAGACATCAGTGTCCAATGTAGTGGTTTATGTGCAGGAATATCATCAGCACTGATACCAATACAAGAAAACAGCCTTTGAATAGCTGTCCACTGTAGTGACCACTATGCCTGAAAGGGTTAATATTGACACCCGCAGGCTACTTTACTACCTGAAATCAGCCCACTGTGTTATATTAAAAACAAAACAAAAAAACCAAACACATTTTGTGCATCTTTAGCACAGATAAAGACCAAAGCACAAGCAGAAGCTAGCATAACAGACGTGGAAAAAAAAGTAAGCCCCAAGCGGTCAAAAATCTCCACAGCACCATGGACACAAGAAACCTTTAATTTTGGCTTTAATCAAACAAAAAGCTGATTAAATGAGTAGGTTGGGGGAAGGATGGGATGTACCCAAAAACATTTAAGACAGATGTTCCCCAGTTAACAATTCAAATGAAAATGCCTCCTTGATCCATGGTGAGGGAGGATAAAAGCCTGTTTTT